TTTTTAGTTTTGGACATTTGTTATGATTCGTAACCATGGCAACAAGGCAGTTTTCTACAACCAGGAGCAGCTGATTAACATCTCAAAAGCTCAAATAATATCTCAACTACAGCCCCAAATTTCAAATGAGTTGAAAAGGATGCTCTGTGGATGCATTCTCGTCTACCTGCCAGCTGTGCTCGAGTGCCTGACCACTGAGATCCTGGAACTAGCAGGAAACACGGCTCATGACAGCGGAAGGACCGGATAATCCCTTGGCACCTACAGTTGTCTGTCCGCAGCGATGAGGAGTTCGGCAGACTGCTGGGAGGAGTGGCCATCGCTCTGGGAGGAGTTCTGCCCGGCATTATGGCGGTCCTCCAGCCTGGGGGAACCGAGAGGCCAACCGAGTCTGGGTGGACGGATCAGACGACATCTGCAGCCAGTTTTTTAGGATGAACTGAGGGATGGACCTTTACAAGAGATCCTTCCTGTTTACAGCCATCAGTATCTATATCTCTTAATGTAACGAGGATAACAAGCTACAACAACAAATAATTTCCTTTTGGGATTAATAAAGTATTTTTGAATTGAATTGAATATAAATATATAAGTAAATTAGAAAAATTATTTCTCTGAAGAGCAGACTGCTTTGAGTTTAACTCCATCGCAGAACTCATCTTGAGTAATCATGAAGGCGACAGTGGAAAGAAAAAACTCCCTCATGAGGAAGAAACCTTTAGCACAGAGGTGTCCAAACGTTTTCATATGTGGGTCAAAAAAAACTTGAAGATGAAAGGAGTCGCAAGCCACACACACACAAAAACACAAAGGGAAATAAATAAATGAATAAAGAAAGAAAGAATAAAACGCATACATATTTTTAGTGGTTTTTATTTTTAACTCTATGTAAATAATATTTTGGAGAAAAGACAAAATTTACTAATTTTAATGTAGAAGGTGTTCTAAAATATTGTAGATCCAAAACATTAAAAGCTTCATAAACAATGTTTTATTAAATTTCAAACAAAAGTTATTTTTTAAATTCATTAAATTTAAAAAATAGTTTTTTTTAAATAAAATTTGAAAAAGGTCTATCGGCCAAAATTATACCATCCTTAAACTGTAGTTGTGGGCCACACAAAATCACTCCAAGGGCCACAAATGGCCCCCGGGCCGCACTTTGGACACCCCTGCTTTAGCAGAACCAGGCTCAGGACAAAAGGACCATCTGCTTCAACTAGCTGGGTTTGGTAGGAACAGATACACAATGGCAGGTCAAGAATCACATGTTAAGATAGAAATAGTATCAAATGAAAACTATGTAATTTTAATAATTCATTTAAGGAAATGAGGTCAATTTGTCCTCCAGAGCAACATAACAAGCCAACCCTAACTATAGGATTTATCAAAAAGAAAAGTCTTAATCCCAGTCTTAAAACTGAACAATGTGTCAGCCTCATGGACAGAAACTGGAAGTTGGTTCCACAAGAGAAGAGCCTGATAACTGGAAGATCTTCCTCCCATTCTGCTTGTGGAAACTCTAGGAACCACAAGTAAACCTGCAGTTTGCGAGTGAAGTGCTCTGTTAGGAAAATAGTAGGAGTATAATAATAATAATACTAGTAAAATTTTTAATGTGAGGGATAAAAAAACATGTCCTGATCAAAAATAACACTAAGATTTTTAACATTAGAGCTGGAGGCCAGATTAATTCCATCCAAGGAGGGCGGAAGACTGGAAAATGTATTCCTAAGATGCAAAGGTCCAAAAACCAAAACCTCAGTCTCTTGTCTGCGCTCAAAAGCAGAAAATTAAGGGTCATCCAGGTTTTTATGTCTTTAAGACATGCTTGTAGTCCAAGTAGCTGATTGGATTAATTGGGTTTAATGGACAAATACACTTGTGTATCTTCAGCATAACAAACTGAACAAAAATAGAATACTTTTGCAACTCCGTGTAAATACCTGTCATATTTATTTATTCTAGCATGCTTTGATTTAACTGGATATTTTGTGTCGTTATTTGAAGTTTTTTTTTTTTTGCATATTAGTATTATTATTATTATTATTATTTAGAAAGGAGCATATAATAGCAAAATGTCCCCAAAACAATCAGAAATCTCCAAGCAAGTTTGTCCTGCCCCGTGTTTTTCATGCAAACAGAAGGCAGCACACTGGCCCCTGTGGAGACTGGGAGGTTTTATATTTAAAGTGGTTCAAAGATGGCAGTGAATGAAGACCGTCCCACTCCAGTGATGTGAAATGGTTTCGTTTATATCCAGTTTTGCATATTCAAGTGTCGTGTCCTCGCAGAATAAACAGCATGACTAATATCTGACACAATGTTTGTTCGGAAACAACAGTCCTGTCCTGCACGTCTAGATCATCCGCTCAGTGATTCACCCACAGCCTGCAGAACATTATGCTGAGCACCCTGTTTATTGTGTGTTTGTATTGTTTTTATCTTGACCTAATTGCATTTTTATGAATTTGTTGACATTTATGGGGGCGGCTGGGCTCTTTCCTGCAAATAAGCACACAGAAAAATTAAAAAAGGCAACTAAATGTGTTGAGAAAAGAAATATAGTAGAGATAAAATAAAAATTAGAGGTCCAAGTGAGGGGAATTATTTGGATACATTTAAAAAAGGAATTTAATATTTTTTTTACATAACCTATCTTATTAGGTGAGCATTTGTCAAATTATACATTTTGAGAACTATACATTAAAGGAACGTCTACTAAACAACAAAACAGAAGAAATGTATAAAGAACTTCATCCTTCTACATGTAAGAAACATTTACCTTTTTATTTGTAATGTACATGTTTGTAGAGTTGTCTTTGAGATATTTTCTCACTGGAAAACTAAGAACTATAAAGTTTAAAATCAATGTTAGTGTTGATTGCAAAGGGTTACAAATTTGCAGACATTTAAATAAGAAAGAAGACTGCTCAAATGTTGTTTTAAATAGTCAATTTTAAGTTTTCTTTCAGGTTTCGTGGCACTACAACTTAAAATCATCTCATTGACTAGCTCTGGAACAAGTTTAATAACAAATTTGAATCATTTTAAATTTAGTATTCTTTAAAAAAAAAGTATCAGATAATATATATACAGTATTTTATTTTACACGGGTTTCACTGAATTGGTTTTGAAAAATCATTTTCAACCCTAACACATGGAAAAAACGGATTGTGGGAAAAACTTTTATGGTCTGACAAGCCAAAATTGTGGCTTTTTATCCGCAATGACAAAAATCACGTTTGGAGGAGTGAAGGTGAGGCTTTCAAAACAAAACGTATGTTGTCTACTGTCAAGCATGGTGGTGGTAGCATCATGCTTCAGTATTGGTGCCTTGCTCAAAGTGGCTGGATTAATGAAAAAAAAGGACTACCCCTTAAAATTCTAAAACTTTACTTCAAATCAACCATAGGTGAGTTTATTTGGATAAAACAGACTATAATAATATAGCAATAATTATAAAATTATAATATTAATATAGTATTATTTCTGACCTTTCGTAGAATGGAGAAAAACTACAATAAATTTAAACTTATGCGTCCAATTCTTGTTTTTTAAATAAAGATAGCATCCCTTGAAGGAATACATGTCATCTGCAGCCATTTTTTAAAACTCGTGCCAGTTTTATTTTTAAAAAGAGATAATTTTATGTTGAGAGGAGCAGGACACACTTGACTCTAACTGTTAATGCTGTGAGTTAGTTCAAGTATATGTTGGGACATTTTTTCAGATACTACCGCACCAAATTTTAGTTCAGTATCTGTAAAACTGACTTGTAGCCAACTTTCTTTTTAATAAGTTTATAGGTAGAATTCCAGGATTTTGATAATTTCCCTTGTTGCTCAGGGAATGCTGCCTTCAGGTTTCATGAGACGTTTAAATCTGATGGCATGGTAGAGAAGTAGTTCAAGCTGCCACCTTACAGCAAGAAGGTTGCAGGTCTGCTTTCCCCCAATCTTTCTGTGCGTACTTTATGTTCTCTCCAACAATGCGTGGGTTTTCTACAGGTACCCTGGTTTCCTCCCACAGACTTTGGTGCAGCTGTGGTTGAGTGGTTAGAGCAGTCGTCCTTCACCTGCATCATATGCTGAAGTGTCCCTGGGCAAGAGACTGAACCCCTCACTACCTCCGATCGATCTGTGTCCCATTGGTGTATGAATGTGATTTCAAAACACTAATTAGTCTCTTTATTTGTTCAGATTATCTTTGTAGAGATGTAAAGTGCTGATTGGATGTGTAAATGAGGGCACAGATTGTGTTGTAAAGAGCTTTGAGTATCTTGATTAGATACAAAGGCGCTATATAAATCATTTACTAAAAACCTACATGTTAGGTCTGTGTGGGTGAGAGTGTGAATAGTTGTCTTATTTATTTACATGTGGCATTTGCAACCTGTCCAGCATTTACTCTATACCTGCTAATGACTGCGGAGATAGGCGTCCTGTCCCAGAATGAAAAAAGCAGGTAAAGATAATAGATGTATGGTTTTAAATCTGAACTGAATGATTCAGTTAACAGAAGGATGGTGCATGTAATGTTTAAACAGTGTAATGAATTTGTCCCACAAACATGTATTTACAGTATAGGTGTTTAAGTTTGACAGAATCTAAATATAACTATGAGTATATGACTATTAATTCTTGAACATACATCCACCATGTGTTGTATTGGTGTTTTATTAGATGCTCCCAGAAGTATTTGTATCTTGCACATACTGTGTATTTGTCTTTATATCTAAGTTCTTGTCTCCCCCTAATGCTGCAGAATGGAAGTACCTGTACTTAAAAAAAAAAAAAAAAAAAATTGAACAATTGAACATACAGAACAAGTGAACACACTCAGATTCCAATGATACATGTAAACATGTAAAAATATCTACTGTCATGCCTCCTAAATTCAGCATATTCTTAAACAAATTACCATAACAATCATCATAAAATTAAATTTAGGTAATATTATTATCAAAGCGATTGCACATAATATGGTACAAGTAAATTAAAAAAACACAGAACTATATATCTAGCATTCTACGTAATTAATAAAATAATTTGTCAGAGGGCTATATTATCTGAGCGAGGTGATCAGAGAGCTTTTTTGCATGTGTTTTTTTTTAGCACTGTCCAATGAAAGTTTTAACATCTGGAGTTCTTGTATGAATACAGACCGTAATGGCTTAGACTTGCTATATCTGCATTTATGTATATAGAATTTTAGTATTATGATAATGTTATTAACAAAGTATTCATCTTTTGGAAGTACCTGTACTTAAAAATTAAAATTAAACGAAGGTCCCAGGACTGTTTTGTTTAAATCTCCTTTGTTTGTCCTCTTTGATCATTATAAGAAGGCATATGTGCTCTAAAATGTTGTGTCCACTTCATTAAAAATATTAATACCCAACAAGAGAATAAAAACTGTCAACAAAACACGTTTCAATATTTTTTCTAAATATATACTAGCCAAACTCAAATGCAATGACACATTTTTATGTAATATGTGCTAATGTGTTGTTGTAAAAAGAATAAATTCCGTTTGTAAAGGTGAACAGTTTTAAAAATCAATCTATTAATCCCGCCCCTTCTTATTTCTTATTCAAGAGGTGCCGTTTGACTGACTGAAATTTTATCCAATAAAATCTCTTTGCTAGATTTGTGACGTAAAATTGACCTTATTTTTGACCAATCATATTAGCGCTATTTCAGACGTAACCAATCAGAATGTGAGGCGGGCTCTAATTCAAGGCGCGCGAACGGTCAAGGATTGTTATGAGAAAATGGCGACTATGTTGTCGGAGTTTGGGAAAAATGTTGCGTGGCTCTTTAACCAGTCTTAATAACTATTTGAAGTTCGATCACGCGGTGATTAATTCGCAGGTACGACGTTAATATGTCTACTAATTTGCAAGACGGGTTTAATTTAGAATAACTTTTGCATAAAATAAAAGTCTGTAGTTAGCAAGTTGTAGCTACAAACACGAAGTTAGCCGACACATGGCTAAGTCAAAGTTTGTCAAAGACGTTGGGAAGAAAATCTTAAGCTAGAGATGATGGACTACTCGTTCCTTTTGACCAAGTTTAGCATGTTTTCATGGCATAACTGAGCTTCGGAAACAGTCACAGTTAGTTGGCGTTGGTTAGCGTCATGGCGTTGCACAACTTAGTTTTTGTTATTGACGTTGATTATCATGAAGGTGACAAGTCAGACGGCCGGCTGGATGTCCAAAACCATTTCGTGAAACGATGTATATTACACATCCTTTTGCACTTTGGCTATAAATATGGGTTTGAGAAAGTGCGCTGGGGGTATAAATTTTTCCGGTTCAAAACTGGTCGTAGTTCTGCCAGCGTCATTTCACGAGTTTCCGACTTCAAGGAGCTTCGACACAAAACATTTGAGGACTTTGAGCAAGAGTTTGAAGCCAGGTTGGACGGGAAGGACGGAGTGTGCTCTTCTCAACAGAAGCAACAGTCCAGGAAGGCTGATTCAGTTCAAAACGCCCTTAAAGAGACCCTGCTGGACTTCCAGTGGGACAGACCAGACATCACCTCTCCCACCAAACTGTCCCTGAGGCCCAGGAGGTCGAGTGGTGCTGGACACCCCAGTCTGTTGCATGAAAGTGACCCTTCAAACAGAGAGAGAAACTTGGTGTTTGTTGTGTCTCGGTGTCCGCGCTCAAAGAAACAGCTTGTGGAGTATCTATCTTTAAAAGGTGATGACCTGCCAACAGATGTAACCGAACATATCGTATCCAAGAGCCTGCACGACATGCTGCTTCAGAAACAAGTTGTCCTGCACTGGATTGACTGTAGATCACATATTCAGGTGAGTGCAGCAGATTGTATAAGAGCTGTGTTTTATACCTGCCTGAATGTTAGCCAAATATCTCTTGAACCACTGGACAGATTTCTATTAAATGTTTCGATCATTTGATTTTTATCTACTAGGGGTGCACCGATTGCAGTTTTCTGGCCGATCACCGATTTCTAAAAAGTCTGACCTGTCGATTCCGATTTTGGTCAATACCGATTTTGTTTTATAAGCAACCCTGTCAAGTGTTATATAAGTTCACAATGCACCTTCAATTTTCCAATATTAATTTAGTTGAAAAACATACTCTTGAACAATACAAACTTGTTTTAACTGGCCGTGAGGTAGTGATCTGAAATATAAATGAAGTTCAGACAATTGTTGTTAAAACAAAAAGCAAAAAAAATCAGTAAAATTGGTTTCTCATGCAAGAATCGGCTGATTTCCCAAAATTAAGGAAATCGGGGTCGATAAATCTGCCGGCCGATTTATCGGTGCACCCCTAACATCTACAACTGATTTAACTTGTGGTGGTGCCAAACCAGTTCAATACAATCACAACAGCCAAACGACCTTATGAGCTGAACTTTGGTATGATAGTAGCTTAGTCACCCAATCTAAATGCTACTTATTGTGTGAGGTATTTTCTTGAAACTTAACCGTAACATCCAACAATAGCAAAAATATAAAGTGTAAAAAGAAACCGTAAATAAGGATCCAATAATTCTCAGTCAGGTCATCTGGACAGTTTCTTTTTTTATCGAGACATTTCGCCCTCTATCCGGAGGGCTTCATCAGTCTGAGGAGTTCCAGTAAACTGTTTCCCCAACAAGAAGTAACCTCCTTAAGTGGACCAACCAGCTTGCTGGAGCTAAGATGGTTTCTGGGGGCCGTCCTGCCCCTCGTCAACTCCTCCCAGGCAGGCAGCCACAGCCAAAGTGGTTCAAGGCAGCACTGGATTCGATACCTGGATGACTGAGCATGAACTTTGTTGTAAATAAGGATCTAAGATTAGTGGTGCACCGATCGCAGTTTTCAGGCCGATCACCGATTTCTAAAAAAGTCTGACCTGCCGATTCCGATTTTGTTTTATAAGCGACACTGTCAGGTGTTATAAGGTCACAATGCACCTTCAATTTTCCTGTATTATTCAGTTGAAAAGCAAACCCTTGAACAATATCCTAGAAACAACAATACAAACTTGTTTTAACTGGCCATGAGATAGTGCTCTGAAATATAAATGAAGTTCAGACAATTGTTGTTAATACTAAAAAAAATTGGTAAAATCGGTTTCTCATGTAAGAATCGTCCGATTTCCTAAAATTAAGGAAATCGGGGCTGATAAATCAGCCGGCCCTATCACCCTATCTAAGATAAGAACTAAGAAATACGCCAAACACTAATAGTGCAAAACAATACGCCGAACAACAGCAGCACAAACATGAGTCTGTGTGAGTAGATGAGTACGAATGAATACAGCAGCATGAAATAATCAGTAGCATGAGATCAGCAGCATATATAATCAGCAGCACATACCAATCAAAGTGGCATTACCGTGATTTTTTTTCACAGTGATAATCCTGGTTAGGGATTTATGAGTCTTAACAGCTTCAGAGTAGAAGCTGTTCCTCAAAGTATAAACATTACATTAAGCATTAGGCATTTACAGTTAGGGTCAACCCAATTTGGCTGTTAGCAAAATATCTCCTAAACCACTGCACACGTTTTAATTAAAGTTTGAAAAATAATTGCTGTACATCTACAACTTACGAACTGTGGAAGTTTGTCTAATCCGAGTTGGCCACCAGAGCTAACTGACCTTGGAGCAGAGATTTGATGTGGGAGAAACGAAACCGTCCACAACACGTACTCCAAGCATGACATCTTGCGATGTTGGAGATTGTGCGTCATTATTTTCAAGGTTTAACCTACGGAGGCTGATTGGTGCAAACGAGCTGCAAACAGTTAAAGTAAACTTGCTGCAAACACGTGAATGATGCAAACTCCAAAACAACAAAAATACAAATGCAACAGAAAAACACTGCAAAAGAAAAATTCTGCAATCACAGAAAATAGACCGAAGACAGAACATGCAATCAGCAAAACAAATGCAAAGGAATACTGCTGTAAATACCAAAAACACTAACCCTCCCAAAACAGCTGCAAGTAAGAAACGCTGCAAACTCACTCCTTGAAACGAAAGTGCACCAGACCAGTGTCAGTGAGGGGTTTTCGACCATCAAGTCATATGGGACCAGACCCCCTGTAAAGATATTATAGCTGAGCGGCCACTTTCTAAAGTCTTAATAACTTCATTCAAAGATATCTAAAATTTCTCAACTAAAGAGAGGACAAAATGTAGCTACTGTTAAAGGTAAAGTAAGACAGAAAATTAAACACTGGCAAGATAGCATCTTTAAATCATCCATCCTTCCATTATCTTTACCTGCTACTTTTCGGGTCACTGGTGCTCATGTCCAGCAGTCTCTGTGCAAAAGGCGGGGGACACCCTGGACATGTCTCCAACCCAAGTTAAGTACCGTAGTCTTATGTTGCAGCCCTGGAGTTCAGACACCTGAACCCTCACAATCTGAAAAGGAAGAAGCAGGTAATGGTGATGAATGAATGGAGTTTGTGTCCGTCATGTGTTTGCTGTGCATTTAGCTGTTTACGGGTTGTTTGCACCTGCCGTCCACCATATTAACCAAAATAGTTATAACTTTGTTGTTTTTCATCAAAATGTTATCCTAATTTAAAACCGTGGCATGAAAGATGATATGCGACACTTCGTCTCTTCGGGGAACGATAGAACTTTATATTATAACGGTTCACACAGTGAATGAATGTTGACTGAATGTCGGGGAGTTTTGAAAACATTGTTGCAAATGACAATTGAACTGATGCAATTTGGTTGAAAAGACTCCATATCAGTTTTAGACACAAGAAAACCAAATCAATTTTAAACTTAACGGTCTGACATTTTTGTTTAACTGATACATTTTTGGCTAAATTTTACTGTCCATGTTCTGAATGTTTATCTTCAAAAATTGTCTTAGTAGTTTTAACGTGAGTGAACACTTTCAAATAGTTATGTAATCGATATGTAACCCCCACATTCACTTTGTAAAAACTTGATGCCAACAAAGCCCATGTTCCAAAACAAGTACCACAGTGATTGTGTTTCTCGCAGGTTATGCAATGTGAGGACTGCCTTGGTTTTGAAAAGCTCTCTGACGTCCTAGCTCAAGTGGGTGGCAGAGTGTTCTCAGTGGTTGCGCTGATGAACCTTTGCTGTGATCGCCAGTCAGACTCGAGCTTCAAGAGAGAGGCCTTTCTATTCAGGTCCGGCTTCAACTATCTCCTGTCTTCTGGAAGTCTGTACCGCCAGGCTTTTCCTGCCATCGCTGGTGTTCTGCGGTGGGACCAGGGTTTGTAGTCCAGAATAACATCGCTTTAACATACAAGCCTCAGACACAAACAGTAGTTTTATAAAGGCAACCCAACAGTAGTGATGACGGATAGAGGTCATAAATATATATAAATATAAACATGGTATTCTTTCTTGGAGTCATTTGTTTGTGTTGTTTTATTTTTTACTAAACCAGGAAGTGTGACTCAGAGTTGTGGTGTCTTGTTGGAGCCCATTTCTCGTGGACAGAAACGTCTTCAGGAGTCTTTAGAAGTGTGCTTGAAGGGAGTGCTGCAGAGCTGGGATGCTTCATCGCTCACACAAACGCCCACAGAGACCTGGGTGCTTCAGGCCTCCAGCAATGAGCTGGGAGCTGCTGCCTTCCAGCAACTCTTACGGAAACTCTTTGGTCTTTCTCTTCACATGGTGAGACATTCAAACACAGCAGTGCAGTTTGACACAGGACATAGGTTTGCGCATAATCTGTGACTTATAAAATTCAGTAAATGCTCTTTTGTCAGGCCAAACTTTTAAAATATTTTGGCAAAATGATATGCAATGAAAATGAACATCTTGCCAATTAAAACTTCAAGTTAAACCCTTTCTTATACAAGAGATGTAGCATAATTTTACTTCATCAGTACTCTAAAGCAACTGCATTTAGACATTGTAGACTCACAATTTCCTCATTGCAGCATCTCTTCGCTGTAACAATTTATATTTACTAGAGATGCACAGTATTGGATTTTTGTACGATATGCCGATATGTTAAAACTTATTTGGCTGATAACAGATGACCATATTTTTTATATACTTTCCTTTGTCAGAACATAGCCCTCTTATTTATTCTTATTTGCTACAAAAATTGTGTGACAGCTGTAAGAGCTGGTGACATATATTCAGTAACAACCATATGCACAGCACTTTTAACTTATATTAAATGAACAGTGTTAAAAGTTATTTATTAGCATTAGTCACCTGCGATGCTGTCTCGCGTGTGGAGGCTTGTTCCAGGTTCCTATAGCTGCAGTGTGGGATCCTCTGCACTCCTGTGCATGAAGGACAGACGTTTTAAGTTCAAAGTTTTCGTCTATCCTTTGTTAAGACTAATCATGCTAACGAGGCTAACACTTGACGTCCAAATGTCTGTGATAAAACTCACCCAAGTGCTATCAACTATTAGCTTCTCAACGATGTTGGAAGTGACGGCTTGTAACTCGAGTAACGTTGCGTCTGAAAAATATCTCGGACTGGGGGCGATGTAGCGAGGCTCAACCTAGTCCATAAATCTTCGGAATCCGACATCCTCAACGAAAAAAACCTTCCACACCACCGACATTTTGACTTCTTCCTCTCCGACGTGATCAGATCAGGTAGGCACGCATGACGTCATCACGTTGTGCTGACCCTGCAGGCATCCTTGTTGTCACTGGGTCGTCACACAAAAACAGTGCCTTATCGGTGAGTTATTTTGATGGAATGGGCGATGTCCGGTATTTAACTTGACCGCTAATATCGACTGATACCGATACCATGCCGATAATATCGTGCATCCCTAAATATTTACCACTAAAAATCGTTTTGGCTGTATAAAAGAGGTGCATGAAAGCAGCTAATAACTTCTTAATAACTTGTCTTTCCCAGCATAATTATGGATATGCTTGCGTTAAAGGGCGATGTGTAGCTGTAATTATGTCACAAATAGACTTAAGTCCTACAAAAGTTGCCTTTTGTTGTTAATGTGACTACTGCAGATCAGACTGACATGATATTGAATAGTTCAATGACAATATTAGGTTCCAGCTCTTAAAATTATCTTCCCAAATTGTTGCTGAAAAGCACCAATAATTTTCAGTTGCATCAGAGGCATTAGCTTTAAAATGCATTTTACAGCTTTGTTCAAAACTAATGTTCACATGTTTAATAACGTAGTCCAAAGTCATATCCATATTTGGGATATGAGCCAAATAAATATTCTCCAATAGGAATGATCCATATTTGCAATTAGCAGCAGTGTTTGAAGCAAATATCTGAATTTTTAATGTCTCCTGTATGATATTACTGACTCTGATGGGATCCCCCTCCCCTCACTGGTTTACTTGTTTCCCCAGTTTGCAGAAGTCAAAGAAAATGGATGGCAGTACTCGGCTGTCTTCTCCCCGCTGTCATCCTCCACAGCTCTGCTGACCATTCTTCAGCCAGCAGTCGCTCAGCACGACCAGTTTTTGAGAACAGAGACAATTGCCCCAGTTGCAGCGGAAACTTCTTCTGATCTACCAAATGTAGTGAACAGCGTCCTGGGAGTCGTTTACGACATCATGAACAAAGATGACGATGGGATCAATGGTAGGAATTAAAGCAAAGCTGGTATTGGCATGTCTGCTCATGTCCATGCATGCATTTGCTAATATGATTTGTACAAACCTAGTTTTGGTTATAGACGAACTTAAATCCTTTTTTGTTACATTTACCCTCCTTGACCTTTTGTTTAAAAAAATAGTGGTTAACATCAAAGTTCATGCTCAATAATCACAATAAGTAGTGGATAACATATTCTTATACAAAACAGGAGACTCCTATAACGTGTTTATCAGTTGTTGCCGTTACACTTTCATGTAAACGTAATATCAGTATGCTCATATATGTTGTGAAACTAGTTCGCTATCAACCTGAAAACAAAATTCTCTGAGCATGTATGGTGTTTTCTATAACTGTAAAAAGATTGATAATTATAGCAAATGTGTAACAAATTGAAATACACTAAAATAGACAATATAATGGTATTTTTAGATAACATGTTTTTTTGTAGAGGGAAAAAAAAAAAAACACTTGAATTTTTTTGCTTGTTCAAAATAATTGAGGACGATACCAAACAAAATGTAATGGTGCATCATACTACACAACATAATAATTGCTGTGACAGTAAAATATCTCAAATGAAGAAAATAGATTTGAGGTTGTTTTTTTTTGTTTTTTTTTGTTAGCACAGCTCATACCCTTTTGTTTGTTTGAACGGTGCCTGTCAAAAATAAGGTTTGAAGGGTCAGATGGAGCTACTTCTTTGATTTGGACACATCCACACCGTTTTGTCAACATGCAAAACAGGAGTGGGGATGAAGGGTGGGCAAACTGGTGAAATGGAATTCAGCTTTTATGGTCTCCCGCTGCGGGACGAAGAGAGAAAATCAGAGATGCCATCGGTCTGTGCACGTTGTGAGCATGATGACGTGGAAAATAAGTGAGGTACCATTTTGGTGTGACTATATCTAGGTGTAATAAAGGTTTAGTAACCTTTATTTGACCAGGAAAATCTCATTAAGATCACAGATCTCTTTTGCAAGGGAGGCCTTGGCCTGAAGGCAGCCTAACATGCATGTGGGAGGACACCGGAGTATTTAGAGAGAGCCCACACAAACACTAGGAGAACATGCAAACTTTGCCCAGAAATAAAATGGATCAAAGTCCAAAACTTAACCAAGACCTTCTTGTTGTAAGGCAGCTGTGCTAACCACTAAGCTGTCCTGCTGCCCAAGGTTCCTTTTGAAAATTGGGTTGACGCATCAAGATCATCAAGATAGTTCAGGAGTGCAACACCCATCCACTTAAATATCTTGCACCAAAAATGTTAAAGCTTACTTTCATTCCCTGTTCAATTCCATGAGTGTCCACTTAAGTGTGAGCTTTTTTTTTTTTTATTGTTGTTTAAATTCCCGTGTTTGAACAGGATTTTTTCCCCCATTAGATTTGTTAAATCGTCTTCAAACTGAATGAAAGGAAGCATTTTCTTAAGATCTCTTCAATTCAATTCATTACAAATGTACATGTACAGGCCTACAAAAAGAAACCGTCCAGAGGACCTGATTTAACTTTACTGCATTTTATTTTTTTTTACCTGGATTATTGAGCATGAACTTTGTTCAGTTCAATTCAGTTTATTTCTATAGCGCCGCCAAGTCACAACAGAAGTCATCTCAGGGCACTGAACAGAAACATTCATATACATTATAAAAGCCAATCAGTAAAAGTTACCTATCTTAGGAAGCCAGCAGATTGCGTTCAGTCTTCACTTCGTCGCAGTTTTCCTTTCCACTGTTGCACAAAAGCAACAGTGGAAAGGAAAAACTCCCTTTTAACCGGAAGAAGCCTCCAGAACCCGGCTCGGGGCGAGCGGCCGTCTGCTTCTGTAATAACACTGTATCTTAAGTCTTGGGCAAAAACTTAGACAGCAAAATGTGCTCTTGTTCTTTATTTTAACCAATAAATCACACAAAACTACAATTAACTTTTTTTTATAACCAAAAGGTTTAAATCGTAAAAGCAAATCAAAATATTTATTACAGTGGTTGTATGAAAATAATAATGAATAAAGAATTGTAACACACGTGCTTATTATAATCCACCAGCTTCTTTTCACCCTCTTGTGTTAGATGCTTGTAAATGAAAAGTCCAACTTGGATTTATAGTTCTGATTTTATCCTCTGTGGTAAAATGTGTCTCTGATTTGAGGCTTTCTAGAAATTGGAAAAGACAAAATTAAAAAAAAATATGCGTTCTAGTAACATCATTTTACCTTTGATATTTGCAGGAGTTAAGTGCTTTTGTTTAACCAACAGATGTAACGGATCATCCAGTACCTGAGTGGGCTCAGCAGGAGCTTTCCCATAACCTACAAACGACAGACATGCTGGAGACGTGGTTCCCCCAGTCGGATCACGCCGGTGTAAGCGCTCAATTGATGGAATCGATGAGGTAACAAAAGTAAAATTTCCTAAAGTTTTTCTTTACGGAATCAGTTTTTTTTTTGCTAATATAATATAAATGGAAATAACAAATGACCAATAATATCCTGATGTCTGTCTTGTTCCGTTTCAGATTGCTTCATGCTGTTCCCGATGAAGAATCCGATGCGTTTTCCGCCTCTCAGCAGGAACTGATCTGTGGTCTGTCTGAACTGTACCAGGCACCGCAGGACTCGGCCCACAAAAAAGGCAAGAAACGTAAGCAAACCATGTTTGTAATCTAAATACATGAAAATAAAATTTGAGGCATTTTAAAAATGTAAACATCCATTTAGTTTACCTGCTTGTTTTTTGTCCTACACTTCAAACATCTTTATCAAAATGGTTTTGTATATATTTTACATTAAAAATATTTTATCGGAGTAATTTCAAATTGTGTCCTGACCTGTAGGTGGCGCTCACCGTACACCTGTGAAGCAGAAAATGAAGACGATGAGCCGCTCTTTGCAAATGCTGAATGTGGCACGTCTGAATGTCAAAGCCCAAAAACACCAGACGGGTTCTGACCAGCTCAAACCTGAGTGTAGTGGGTCCGGCAGGCAAGGGAGGAGACGGTTAAGTGACAGGAGCAAATCTGAAGGAAAGAGCGCAGCCAGTGAGTGCCCCAGTTCAGACGTAAACTAATGTTTCCACAGAACAACCTTTTAGCCTCATAAAGTCAAATAACATATTGTCGTATAGACTTGAAGTAATTTATCTACTTTCTTTGCTCAGGTTTCACCAGTGTGGAAGAGTTGCTGTCTCATCTTAAGGCCAGTTATGACAAGAATGTAGCGGAGAGAGACCAGTCTCTCTTGTCAAGTGTTCAGCAGCTTTTAACTGATGTAAAAAACTTCCTTATGAGAGAATCAGGCTGGGAGGTGAGATTGGTCTTGTTAGGTCTTAAATACTGTTAGTGTATTACCTAATGTATAAGTTTTTAGGTGCTTAATAATCATTCATGTTGATTTCGCTGGTCTCCCAAGTTTATATTTTATTTTTTACTGCCCACTGCTGACGACAACACAGCTAAAATATTTGCCTTTGTGTCTGTGTGTGTTTGCATGTGTCTTCTTAATAGAATATTTCATGAACCGCTTGGCAAATTTTAATGAAACTATCAGAAAGTTATGAATTAAGGTACCTTTACAAATGATTAACATTTGGAGTCAACCCAATTCAGGATGGCCACCATTTAATCAACATTAACAAACACAAAACTGACTCCAAACCAGTCGTTTTTGCAGATATTGAACTGAAATCTTGCGTGGTAGTAGCTGAGAGTCATTCACAACACACTCCGTTACCCCTCTCCTCATCTTAAGATGATGTTGGTCTACATTTTTTTCATGAAATGCAGCAGATGATGTATGTACTCCTTAGAGAAATGCAAGGCCTTTTAATTTAAAGTTAGTATTTTGCCCAGTTTAAAATTTATTATAGTTGTAATGTTCATTGTATAAAAAAAATGTAAAATCATTTCAAAAGATAGGAAACTTTCTATGTAACGTTAATATTACCAAGAACTAATGTGGCTGTTAGACAGTGTTGAGTATTTATTTTATTTTTAGGTAAAGGCAACTTTGTTTGTTCAACAACACCTTCTGAAGATCGGCAAATCAATCCGACAGCTTTACGGAGTCTCTGCTGATGCTGGTAACAAAGTCAGAGAGTGAGTGGTTCATCACCCCGAGTTGTAGCTCGTTTTTAAATCACTACAGAAATATAGCTTTTCCAATTATTATTATTATTTTTTTTAAGTTTTTTTTTAATTCCAGTCAGTAAATAACAGACTGTCTAATTCAGGTGCCAGCTGCAGGTGGTGTTACGACTGGAGTTGTGCAGACGTTTCTCTTCATCCCAGTCTGTTTCTGTGGATGCTGATCAGATGGCAGAGGAGGTGAGCGGGTCAACGCTTCAGCAGTATTAGTTTATTAAAGAAAAAATTACTAATATTTACTTAAGTTCTTATCTTCAGAATTATAAAACAGAAAAAAAAAAGTATGTTCTGAATGTTATCAGTTGCACGAGAGAATGGATAAAGTAAGCTGTAACATTTTATTTTCTTCAGGCTGCCGAGATGCTCAGAATAATTTCACTAACAAAAGATCCAGTATTCCTAGCAAGGTTCCTTCAAGATGAAATTCTCCCAGGGTAAGTGTGAAGTGCCAAGTCCTTGTACAAGAAATGTTAATTTTTAAGAACAATTGCTGTCAGGTTTTTCTTTTCCACAATATATTGCCTGAAATATTTTGTAATTTAAGAACAACACGTTTTAAGTCTATTGCTTCTTATATTTAATTGGCTCTTCGTTGTCATGGCAGGTTTCTGACTGCTGTTCCTAAGATGCTTGGAGACATCTACCACAGTTTGGGTATTCAGCTGCCAGAAGCTTTAGTTGCTGCTCTGCCGGCCGACTTCTTCAGCGACGAATCAGTTGCCAAAGAGAGTGTTTCTCCTTTTGCTCCCTCACTTTCCATCTCAACACGCAGCATGGGTCCAGATGGCAAAGATGACTTGCAGGACCTACGAAACCGTTCAGCCAATAAAAGGAGGTGTGGATGCACGTTTGCAGAAAATAAAAATAAAAACGTGACTAGCTATGTTTACATGGACATAAGTAATCAGGTTAAACGGCCTTTCGGAATAAAAATGCGTCATGTAACCGCCCCATTCGAATTATTCTGAGCTGATTCAGGTCGATCCAAATGAGTTTGTAATCCGACTGAGAGGGGTGCATGTAAACAATCTGATCATTTTATTCTGATTGTGGAAACCTGACCTGACTGCGCATGTGCGACCTACGTCTGTGTCACGTATGTCCACCTGGCTAATTCTAATATGTCGGGGAAGCAAAGTTGGGTTTGTTTACGTTCATCCCAGAAGTAGAACTTCTTCTTATGTGTTTTTTTTAAGGAGAGTTTACCACTCTGCACGTCAGTACGTCTGTTCAGAATAAAACGCTCATCGTAAACGGATTGTGCCCGTGTAAACGATACATTTGGATTATTTTATCCAAATACATTTCAATCCGATCAAAGAATTTTGCACGTGTAAACATAGCTAATGTTGGATTTTTATTAGGAAAGGTCAAAAAGGAGATAAAATGTAAAGATATTTATTTGTAAAATAAAGTGGAGACATTTGAGTTTAGAGGACGCTGATGTTTTAGTGTCTTATAAAAGAAATTTGAGATACTGGTGGGTAGTTATTCTTGTTGAATTTAAATTTTGTAATTTTTCTGCAAAGGAGTGGGAGGTTGACTCGTCATCGCAGCATGGCCGAGTCAGCACAGAGTCTGCGTCAAATAGAACTGCCCAAGAAGACGAGAGCTGTAAGATAACTTAATAAATGTCTTTATTGGCATCACCTGAAACTGTAATCGGTTTCTTCTCTGACGTGTAGGATATCCTGATATGTTGCATGGCATCTTATGGTCTTTGTTTTTTGTCTTTGTTAGTCCAAAACAACGATTGCTTTGGATAAACCCGTGAAAGAGCTTAAACTTCAGAAACAAGAAACACAAGGTATGCACATGGAAACAAGAGGGAACCTTTGTGACTCACTGATGCGTTCAAAATGTTTGTTTTCCAATGAAAATTGTTGTTTAGTGAACTTAACTTAGACTTAACTTTTGTTAATCTTGCAGCTGTTTGGCTAAAACACCTCCCACATAACGCTGCATGAGAGAAGGCCACATGACTTTGCCTTTGTTCACACACCGTGCACATCGGAAGTCAGTTTAATTCAACTTTGTACAAAACAATTTCAGTTTACTGGTGCACATAACAAGTCGGGTCCTCTAGATTTGTTCTTCTTTGTTGAAACGTTTCATCTTTTATCCAAAAGACTTCTTCAGTCTGAGTCGTTTCAACAAAGAAGAATCCATCCAGAGGGCCTGACTCAACCTTGTTAGATTAATCTACCTGGATTACCTGAGCATTCATCAGAACACTTTGAAACTCTCTTCAAATGGAAATCCTTGAGAAAATCCCATCTCCTTTCAGGCTGACGTGGCATTTTATATTTTACAGTTTAAGTTAAAAATGATCTGTTTTAAAAGTAGATAACGGAAAATAAAAGCCATCATGTTTATAATCTACTTTCCAAACGTATGTTTTGTCCACAGAGGTGACCAAAGTGAGAAGAAACTTGTTTAATCAGGAGATCGTTTCCCCCTCAAAGAAAGCCAAACTGCCAAGGAGCCAATCTGTTTCTGCGGTGGAAGGCCTGAAACACAAGCGTGCGCATGAATCTGAAGGTTAGTTTTCTACATTTAAGTAAAAAATAAATAAAAAACATCATAATGTGGATGTGTTGTCATCATTGTGTGTTCCCATACAATGGGGAAATTGGCTCTCTGCATTTAACTCATCCACCACCAGGTGGAGCAGTGGGCAGCTGTTGAAAGCTCCGGCGAACTGTTAAATAATCAGAAATATACAAAGTTTCCAGTGTTGAGTTTAGCGCCTTGACATTTGTGCTTCTCTGAGACAGGTGTTTTGAAAATCTGTAAAATAATTTTTAAAGAATGCTTGTAGTAGGTTTTGTAGATTAATAAGAAAACTTGCCTTTTTCAGAGAGACACAGGCTTCTTACAAAGAAAGTGTGTGAAACACCGATCCACAAGCAGGTATCAAGCTGCCTACTACACCGACAGAAAACTGGAAGGTATAGTTTAGTCCATGTCCTTTTTATTATTTCTCTATTAAAGATGGCAAATTGATGTTTAAATTACTATAAACAAAATCAACAGTAGCTCACGATTGACTAAAAACGTTTAGGACAACTCTCTTCCTCCCACCCCCACAGGAAATCTAATGTAGTTGAGGAGTGCATTGTGGAAGAATCACCAGAAAAACCTGAAGGTATTTATTTATTTTTACATTCTTGGTGATTTTGCAATTAAAAAAATGGTTATACATGCTCTTTGTTTATATGTACTTTTATTTACGTGTGTTTTTAAGAGAAAGATAGAGAATTGTTTTTGGTGAATGAACGAAAATGAATGTTAAATTTTTATACTGGAATTTAAACATTTTGAAATAAGAAATCTGTCTATAAAGTTACTTAAACTAAACTTCCTTGGCACAGCTTCAAATGACCTAATCTAGCAAAATACATTTGATCGTGACCTTATTATTTATTTAAAAAATAAAGCTGTGGCTTCTATTCCTCGTCCTCAAGCCGGTGCAGTTTTAGCCATGACCTTTGCTAAAAGTGTATTTTTTAATTATTATTTTATATTTTTTTGTGATTTTTCAGATCTAAGAAGGAGCCCAAGGATAAAGAAGTTTGCTCGAAGACACTCAAGCACTTTCTATACAAGCTCTCAGCCTCGTTCCAGAAACCTTGAGAGGGTTTTTCCTGCATCCCAGCCCAGCGACAGCCAAGTCTGTGAGGTTAATGTGAAAACGGTTCAGTCTCCCATGCGTCTTCTGTTTGGGGCTGCTGATTCTCCCATGAGACCCTCTGAATCAGATGAAACCAGGACCACCAGGTCACGACTGTCCACAAACTCCAGTGTCTTTGAGGTAATGTATCTATATATTGTGTCATTTTTACCACGTGCATAACGTTGGATAAAGCAGTGGAGGAATAAGTCATCTCTTCTGATGTTAAATGCTGAGAATGTAGTTCTTCACAAAGCTAAAAGCCACAGAACAAAAGGCTTTGAAGTATCGTTTTAAATGTTGAATATATTTAGTATCGTTTGAAGTTAGTTTTGTAAAATAAAGGTCATTTCACACCTGTATCAGTGATGTAATAGTTCCTCGAAAGTCAGACAGCTTCGTTACTGAGGCTTCAATAATTTAATGGCACTTTGCCACTGTTTCAACTTTCATCGGCTCCACACGACACCGCACCAGTTAGGGGCCTGCTTACTGCCGGTGCCCACCCCACTCTGCCCAGTTCATAGAACCACCTTGTTTGAGGTTCCAAGCGAACTTCTCCGAGGTCACGATGTTGACGTAAGCAGACCGCAGCCGTTGATTGGCCAGCGGAGCTACGTCACTGGATGACCTGCCCAGCAAAACTACAAACTACATCTGAACCTCCACTTCCTCTCTGATGGTGTTGGACGGCGCCACAAAAAACGAGTGCACGTACAGAGATACTGGAGACGATGGCGCAGCATGGCTACAACCGGATTACTAAGCAGTGCCAGGATAAGCTAAAGACGTTGAAGTCGATTATAGGGCAATTAAGAACCACAACGGGCAGAGTGGCTCGAACATAAAAAGACCAGTTGTGATCCCGCCCACTTTGTATTGCTGATCCCGCCCACAGAGCAGGGAAACGGGTCAGCCTCCACTGGAGTCACCTACACCTGAATGGCAAAGCTGCATAACAGAGCCCAAGTGTTGGGATGTGTTATACTACATACAAGTGTAAAGTTTTTTTTTTTATCATATCAAACAATTAAAATTGTTTCAAAATCTTTTTTTTTTTTTTTTTGTTATTTTATTGCAAACTGCAAACACAGTTTCCAGTAAAACCATTTGAAATGTTCTTTCCATGCAGAAATTAAGCAAAAACTCCAACTCCGTGTTTAAAATAAAATTATTTCTTCTTTTTTTTTTTTTAGAGTCCAAACAAAACGCCGACAAAGTCACCCAGCAAGCGTTGCGGGGGCATTACTGAAAATATGTCTCAGAGGACGCCTCGGACTCCAGGAACCTCCAAAAGTCCACCATCATCCAGGATGCTCGTTTCTTCTGTCACAGAGAGTCCTTTAGTGGGCTGCTCTGGACTTTATAAGAGTCCTTGCCAATCTTCAGGCGGAGGAGTTCTTGTAGAAACACCTACCAAGCAAAGTCCCATTTGGAGCCCTTTAAAGAGCATTCTAAAGACTCCTGTTAAAGCCTCTTCTGGATTACATCTACTCAACAGCCCACTTTCAAGAACTTCCAAGAAGAGTGTCACATGGTCACCGTCTCCTCCCAAATGTAAACTTGTGGAGGATGATGCTACATTTAAAGTACCCAAGTCACCTAGCGCTACTTCTTTCAGTTCTCCTAGACAGGTCCAAACCCCCAGTAAGCTCAACCGTCCTGTTCAAACCACAAACACTAAAAGAGACATTTTTAAAGCTCCAGACAAGATCTGTCAAGTAAACCTGGTAAGACTATCTGAACGGGACATTTTGACTTTTGAAGAATTTCAGAGATCATCTGAAAAATGTAACAGAAAAGAAAGTCCAGAAGAGCGTGACGCTCAGCTTCTATCCACGCCACCTTCAGACCAGCAGAGCCCACCTCAGCACAACAGCACACCTCAAGAGAAGACCCCTAGTCCGACTCACCAGATGATCACTCGCTCTGGACGTACTCCAAGGAGAAGTTCAGAGGCTGCCTCTCCAGGAGATCCAACATTCACACAACTAGAAGTCACTAAACTTCCAGAAGGATCAAATTTATTAGCAAAGGTCTTGACCAAGAGGTCTGGTAATGGTTGTAGAGCAAGTAGACATGACTTGAACCCAGAGTCTGGTGAGAGCTTTGTCTCTGAAACAACCTCGGCAGCTGCTGAAATGAATGCGCGTTCGTTTATGAAGGAGGAGCAGGCCGAAAGCTCTCAACCCTCCGAAACTAATTCTAGTCTCTGGACAGAGTCACAGGAATCTGACTCTTCTTGTGGTAATTCTGCCACAACAGATGAAAGTATAGATATAGTTGATGCTGCAGTTGTCAAGACACAGTTTAATAAAGGCCTTAAAATGAACATTAGCTACTCGAGAAAGCCTTCAGTGTCTGATGACCGTCTGTCAGACACAGTTTCTCCAAGCCGACATTTACCGTCACAAAGCACACCTAGTCGAAGTTACGGCTTCCGACAAACCCCCGACCGCCAACAAAGAGAGGCTGCTGCTCGTTTGGGTTACGAAAACGATTTCCCTCGATTTTCAAATCCTAGAGGTCCGGCAAGATCTAACCAGCATAAAAGCACAAAGCCCCCCACCTACCAAGTTGAGTTAGAAATGCAAACGTCAGGTCTTCCTAAGCTCAGGATCAAATGCACAGATTCAGTGAATGCAGAGGAGTCGGATGGAGGTCTGCAGTCAGGACCCCAGAGCCCTTCAGTTGGTGCAAAACCTCACATGGAAAGTCCAGTGGCTTTACTGCCAAAGCAGAGAGATCCTGCATGTTACTCTCCATCTCTGTGTGCTCATGTCACCCCAGCCAAGAGCACACCTGGAAAAGGTGGTAGCGTCCAAACTTACATCTGCCAGTCGTACACACCTACACACCATCCTGCAGCAACATGGTCTCCGGCGGCAGTTGCAGACATCGTCCCTCTTACTCCTTCACCTCAGAGCGTGGGGAAAGTGACCCCAGAAAACCTCAACAGCTGGCCTCGCAGGAAGAGGGCTCACTTTGGAGCATTCGGAGACAAAGATAGGGGCCTTAAGGGGGAGCCACAGCTGGAGGAGTTGCTGGAGGAGGCTGAACTCGGAGTTAGTAGGTTGCAGGACTTTGAGGACACGGACGAGCCCCTGGGTAACTCCAAAAAAACAAAAGCTTCGACTTCCAAACAGCTTCCCGCAGCTGCAGCCGCGGTTTCTCCTCTCTCGCCGCTTGAAGATTTGTTCTGGGTGGAAACGCTGGCGAAACAGAACAGCTGTGCCGATTCTCAGACAGCAGAAGAAGTCACCCGGGACTCTGAAGTTGGGGCTGTCGAGTCAAGTAAGCAACACATTTGGCAACATAACGGTACTAGTTTTAAGCTTTTGACTATTAACGGTTTTGGGTTATAAAGGAAAATTAGTTTTTACATACGTTTTAGTTTCAATTGTTTTGTGGTGGTGAGAATTGAGTGACTGAGTTTATTTAGTTTTTTGGTACCACAAAGCAGATTTTTGGTTTTAATCTCAACATTGTGACAGTCTCTGACATTATCTAAAGTTATTGTAGGTTGAAGTCATGGGTGTCCAAAGTGTGGCCCGAGGGCCATTTGCGGCCCTTGGAGTGAATTTGTGCGGCCCACAGCTGCAGTTTAAGAATGGTGTCATTTTAGCCAGCAGGCTTAAGAGGTCGATGCAGACTTTCTGCAAATTCGTTGCTAATCCTTTTTTAAATAATGTTTAGGTTTAACAGCAGAACGGATGAAAAACAATCTTCTCAAAATGAGCAACATTAAACAAAATACAAACCTTTAACTATAATCTTTGTTTTTACTTCATGCTACAAAGCACCAAAAACCTTCACCAGAAAGGAGACTTTTGGATAATGATTCATTAAACTTGTCTAAATATTGCAGTTGATAAAATAATCAAACATTTTTTTATTAATATAAAATAAGATAACACTATTGATCCCGCAGGAAATTGTTGTGCCAGACTAAGTCCATGCTCAATAATCCAGGTATACAATCCAACATTTTTCAGTCGGATCATCTGGACAGTTTCTTTTTTTCATACTGAAATGACTAAAATAATAAATTGCTACAAACTGTTTTGATCAGTTTGTTTTCTAAATAAAATACTCTGCAAATAATCTCCACAAAATATGCTACTTGAAACGAAATATAACTTCTTTGGGTGAAAATGTTGTGATGTGAAACAGCTTTTACAGAAATAGGAGGAAAATAAAATATTGCTTTATCTGGATTAATGAAAAGCTTCGTTGTGATGAACTTTGGCAGCAGTTTAACCCAACACAAGTTATATATTTTACTTTTTAGTTTTCTGGAGAATATTGTGATAACCGTTTCAGCTCAACAGTGATGTGTAATTAAAGAAGAGAGTAAAACTTTTGTAGTCTGTGGGTAAAATAACATGAATAATCTTAAAATGTAATTTCAGTCATTTATTTAAATCTTTTCTGTGTTTTGGCAGTGGTGACCCCTCCCAGTTTAACAAAGAGAAAGCCAGTGACTGCCAGTGGTATTTTGGCTCTCACTCGGTCTCCATTTCTGTTTAAGGGGAAAACAAGTTCTGCTCAAAAGAGATCACCAAACTTTAAAGGTAAGAAGAGCGACCGTGTTTACAAAATGAAAGCACTTCCTATGATCTGCATGTTTATCTTCACATTCACAGTTTGGTTTGAGCCATATGGGATCACTTTACATCTGCAATCATCAGTCCAACAATTGATGACTCGTTCTATTCATGCAAGTGCATTAGGTTTTTGTTTGTTTGTTTGTTTTTTGGGGTGGAATCAGGCAATCCTCGTTGGGTTTGTTTACAACATGTCCAGCTATAAAATCAGTAGTTTCTGAAAAAAAAAAGAAGAAAAAAATCACTGATTTGGGATTACTTTGGTTTTAATTCAAGGAGTTACGCTAAAGTTTTGATAAGAAATATACCAAATGTGTGCAGCCACCTTTGGCCTGATTTAAGCACGGAGCTCCAGGCGCCAAGGTTTGCTGCCTTGACAGTGAACACGTGGTCAGCTTTGGTCACAGCTCAAAATAATAAGGAATGCTGGGAACTGCAGGCAAGATGTCTTGAAACAAAACATTTTCCTGGTGGCCACACAGCCTCGGTGAGCTACGAGGAGCTGCAAGAGCACACTGAAAAATGTGCTAACTCAAACCCCACACTTCCTATTCTTTGTAATGAGAAAGCTCCTCAGATGAGAAGCACAACCGCTTCAGCTTCAGAATACAAGTCCAGTTGTTTTTGCCTTTAACCTTTTTTATTTACCATGTCCTGGGTGACTGGGAATCTTCACCAACACACTGAAAAGTGGTTCTGTTGCCACATGCTACCTTCTAAGTTTAGGTCAGTGGTTCTCAAACTGGAGGCGTGACCTCTGCGCAGGGTGCAAGTTTCATAATTTCATAGTTTCATTATTATTTTGTACTAGTATTTTGGGGTGGTGATGGAACAGTTGTAGGGAAACTGTTCAGCGATTTGTAGACATACAGGAGTATTTTGAACTGGATTTGAAGGTGAACCGGTAACCAGTGGAGAGGTCGATGCAGTGGTTTGTGATCGTGTCGTTAGGAGGGAACAACATGACTTCAGACTTCTTTTCATTGAAACTTAAGAAATTTAAAGCCATCCAGTCCCTGATGTCAGCCAGGCAGTCGAGCAGAGGTTGAATAGAGCATGTACCATTGTGTCTTACGGGGAAGTAAATTTGACAGTCGTCGGCGTAGAAGTGAAAGGGCATGTTGTGTTTCCGGAAAATATCACCAAGTGGCAGCAGGTATAGAGAGAATAGGAGGGGACCCAGGATGGACCCCTGCGGAACCCCCCATTTAAGCTCTGTCATTGCAGAACTAAAATCCTTGATGGAGACGCATCAAGTGTGATGGGTCAAAAGCTGAGGACAAATGTCGTCATCATAACGGCACATACAGAGATGACTACACATATTGTGTTTCCTTTAGAAATTAGTTTTTTAATTTTTGTGCCAAAATATTGTGAGCTACATGTTTTCACTCAGACTTCTTTTTGTGATGGACTGGACCGCAGTGGGGAGTCTACACCCTCTGTAAATGAGGTGACGAGTGAAGACAGAAGAGTCTTTTTAATAGAGGAAACATTAGGAGGAGTCGATTTTAAATCACAGACCAACTGTCTGAGTGTTTTATTAATTCATTTTTTAGGTCAAGTTATTCACTCATACTCTGGTTTTATCCCACATCTTTTTACTCATGATGTTTGCTAGTGTATATGGATTAAAAAAAGAAAACCTACATTTAATCAAAGAAGGGAGGGAAGATATCGTGACTGTTGGAAATGCAGTGAATGGTAAGAGATAAAACAAACTCGACCTGGCAGAAAGGTATAGGCTCATTTCTGCCTTTATTACTGTGGTCGTTTGGAGTTCCTTTGTATTTTGGTTCGTTGGGTTTCTGTGCTCAAATTGAACTTTTATTGTTCTGGTTCTACAACGGTGATTTTACATCAGAGGATGATGAAGTCTGTTTTTATTCTTTTTAACAAAATACAGTTTTTAATGTTACTTTTCTTGAAAAGCTCAAAATAGCAGCCTAGAGACAAATAATCTCAAAACACATTTTTTTTTCGATGACTAAGAACAAACTTAAAATAATCATAAATCTGAAATTGTATTTCTTTTATTCTCTCCCTACCACAATTACTTCTGAAAGTTTTAGATGGAGCTGCATCAGGAAGAACGGAAGTAGAGGAAGTGGAGCGTTCGCCTTTCAGTCAGCCATTCAGCCGCTTGAACGTGGGGAAGACCTACAGCAGGAAGAGACTGCTTCACTGAGACGAACCAGAACAACAGGCATTCAACGCAATATTACGTACTTTAGGTTTATTCTGTGAAAATGAGTCTTCAGCCATGAAGGAGTTCTTTCAGTCATCACCTGAGAGGCTTGATCGTGAAATCAACGCCCCTTTCATCTGAAATCCACGGCTGTTTGTCACGAGTCTCATCTGTTGCGTTGATCCAGAATCTTTCAAGACTGAAGAAAGTTTTGTTGATTTTAAAAATCATTCCAAGGATGTTTAAAATCGATTTAATTGACCCGTGTTTTCTGATGTAGTCTGTTCAAAACTGAAACCTTTGAAAATGATGATGTAATGTTTCATTTTTTTTTCTCAATTTTATTTTTTTTTAACAATCCTATTGTTGCCTGGATTTGATCATATGAGCATTGTTTATTTATTGATTTGTTCTTTTTGTACATTTGTTTTAGGTGAAAGGAAATTTCTATTTTTTGTAAACATGTTGCCAAATGATTTGTAAATAAACGCATACATTGTCTGATTTGAATCCAAACGCTAACTGCACTTTATTGTTTCACCAGCTTGTATGAATGAGAGGTCAGTGAGTTCATCTGCTGCCAGCAAGTATCAGGAACGAACTCTGGCTGTTCAGTCACCTGCCTTTTCAAAGGTCGGTGCACTAAACTGATAACAAGACTTTTTGTCAAGCTCTGATTTGACAGGTGTCAATCAAGAATTACCCTAAAGGTCATGGGCATGACCCCTGAGGTCAGCTTATCGCATATATATGAATAATAACCTTCCTTTTCTGGCCTGATCTAGTTTGAGGCTTGTGTATGAGGAGTTATCTCATCTGGAATAAAAGGTCTCGTCTTATCTGAGAAACTTTGGTCTTTTCGCTCTCTCCCTTAGCCAAGTTAAAAAAATGATCAGCGTCCTGGATCAATAAAAGGAGTGGGATCATTATTTCTTTTACTATCTCTGCCCACAGGTGCATGAAAATGATGCAGACAACTCGGCTGTTTACTGCAGTGAACAAGTTCAGAAAGTGGACTGTCCACTTCACCACCGCGGCTCGTTCTGTGACGAGCCACGGTGACAAAAATTGCCGTCGTTACCTCGTGTCTGGATAAAGACTCGCATTTAAAAAATGCAGCAAAAATCCCCCCGTTTTAAGACCATCTTCTGAACAGTGTAAAACACTTTGTTCTGGTCATTGAATGCTGCTTTTTAAGTCTTAAGGTGTTCAATGACCAGAAAAAAAACATTAGTTTCCTGCTTTATGGCGTTTCAAACGGCATTTTCTTAAATTATGCCCACAGACCAAAACCATGCATGTTGGGGAGCGGTGGCGCAGGTTCAACTCCCGGTACCGTCAACATCAAAATGTGGGTGGAAAAGATGCAACGCCCACACCTGCCTCCACTCTCATTTGCCCCTCTCTGGGCCCTTGAGCAAGGCTCTTAACCCCCGTCATTTGCTCCCACCAAAACAGGTCTCTTGAAAATGAGTTCTTGTGACTCAATGAGACTACCTGTATAAATAAAGGGTAAATAAATAAAAAATGTTAGGCTGATTGGTAACTAAATTGTCCCTAGGTGTGAGTGAGAGGGTGAATGCTTGTTTGTCTCGTTTGTCTCTGTGTCCCTCTGATGGACTGGGAGACCTGTCCAGGGTGTTCTCCGCCTCTCGTACAGTAATGGCTGGAAATGGGCACCAGCGACCCCCGCAACCCAAAAAGGGAAGAATCAGGTAAAGAGAATGGATTAATGGATTTCTCATTTTCCCCTTTTAGGACGAGTTTATTTATTTATTTATTACTATTCTCAATTTTCCTTTTATGATGAGAAGTTCTATTTCTATTTTCATTTTTCTTATTTTTTCCCTTTTACGATGAGGACTTCAATTTGTTTTATTTTCCCTTTTAGGATGAGGACTTTATTTTTTATTTTAGTCTATTTTTCCTTTTAGGATAAGAACTTTATTTTAATTTTTCCCTTTTAATTTTTCTATTTTTGTCATTTTTCCCTTTTACAATGACGACTTCAATTTTTTTCTCATTTTCCCTTTTATGAATAGGACTTCTATTTTTATTTTATTCTCATTTTTCACTTTTACGATGACTTAATTTTTTTTCTCATTTTCCCATTTAGGATGAGGACTTTTAATTTTTCTCATTTTTCCCCTTTTACGATGAGGACATTTTATTTTATTGTTCTTATTTTTCACTTTTACGATGAGGACTTCAGTTTTTTCTTTTTCTCATTTTCCCATTGTTTCCCACTGAGTGAAAGTTGAGTTTTTCCCATTGAGCCAGTCACCAGTGACGAGGGTGGTTCACCGGGACGAACGCTGTCTTAAACCGTAAATCTTCCCTCGGTTCAGGTACCTCTAATCAAACTATGCTTTCTTCAAGCCTTACAAAATGAAATGAGCTGATCATTTTTTTACTTCACTGTGGGAGAGTAAAACAAAAGATTAAAGCTTCTCAGATAAATCCTTTTCCAGGGTGACAACTCTTCCTCATACACAAACCCCATACTTGATCAGGCCAGAAAAGGAAGGTTATTGTTCATATATACAGGACAAGCTGACCTCCGGGGTCATTCCCATGACCTTTAGACCAGACCATTCATGACTGACGCCTGCCAAATCCATTTGATGAATAAGTGTTTATATTCTCTAACACAACACATCTTTTTCATATTTCATCTGTCAGAATAGACAACTGCAGTACATCACTGTTCATCTACTTCACTCACGTTTGGCACATCTAAAAATATTCATCTTGGTGACTTGGTGTCGAGTTTTAACTTTGGCATTTGTTGCAGGGGCTCCATTGAACAAAAAGGTAAAAGCCAAGGTTTAGAATATATATATATATATATATATATATATATATATATATATATATATAGTTTTTCTTTTGGCTGCTCCCTTCTTCAGGGAATTGTTTTTACGCCGGATGTCTTTCCTGACGCAACAACAGACCGAGCTACCACAGCCTCTGTGTGGAGCAGAGAGCTGCCATCTAGGGTGCCCGGTCGAGCAGATGGTGGGGGTTAAGGGCCTTGCTCAAGGGCCCAGAGTGGGGCAAACGAGGGTGGAGGCAGGTGTGGGTGTTTCACCTTTCCCACCCACATTTTGATGTCGAGCCGGCGACCTTCCGATCACAGGCCCACCTTCTCTAACCTCTGCACCACCACTTCAATAGTATCAAACCATGCTATTTAATGGTTGTTTTCCATGTGAACGCATAAATGATTATGCTGGCCCTTCTGATGTCTGCATTTTGGTTGAGTGTATTCAAGACTTCTAATTTGCAGATGAAGCACCTGCAAAACCTTGTTCTTGAATAAAGAGACACAAAACCTTCATTTGCTCCAGGTCAAATTAAACCACTGAGCATGCTTACAGGTCATTTGGTGACTGTTGTGCGCTCTTTGATCTTTTTTTACTCCCGGCATGAATTGTTGAACTTCAGCGTCAGAAGGCTTTCAGGGAGCTCCTTTCTTAAAGTAATGCTGATATTAAAATAAATGTAGAAGGCCCGACGCGTTCTATTTACTGTGAAGCTTAAAACATGGTGAGTGAGGTGGAAACATTTCCTGAAAACACAATGTAATTGAATAATTTTTTACTTTTTTCTTTGTCATTTAATTACAGTATTTACCTTTAAAAGTGTTTGCTTTAAACTTTCTACTGTTGTGAACTCTGTCCTGATGAACACAGGGTGAACTTCGCACCACATGCTCAGACCTTGGATTTAATACACCTTGTGTCTGAGGAGCACTCCCAAGACAAACATTAAAAAAACACGTTCATATCTCTAGTGAAAGACTTGGTGCTCTGTGAAGGAATGCCTTTCCATCACCACCTTTCATGCCACAGTTCTTCACCGAGATCGTCTTACATTTAGAAATGGCAGAGACGGTTTCAAACTTTGAAAATGACAATATGCACGATCCTGTGAGATGCCACGCTCGGAGTACATTTTGGGAATGATACTCAGCTACCGTGTGCGTTGGGTTTTCAATATTTTTTGTGTTGGCCAGTGATTGTGGCACCTTTGATTCTCAAAGTCAACTCTGAACCTGGGTTTGGGTGTTAAACACACTTAGATGCACAATAAAGGACAACTTTGTGAAAGTTTAATTGAAATCTGGCGATTCGTGAGATTAGTTCACTGATCCATCTTTCATTTAAGAGCATTTTCTTGAGTTTGAGAAATATGTCGGAGCTGGAGGTTGTTGGAAGGTCATGAACAATGTGACTTTGTGCTTCCTTCAGTAGTTTAAACCACGTGGAAACAAAGTGATGGGCCTTTAATTAGGTCTGACGCAATGAGGAAGTTCCTGCAGGTTTTATGGGATGAATTATTAACCTGGTCTTAATGCAGACAAAGAAAAAAAACATGCTTCTTTGTCCTGATCTCTGTCACATGTACAGAAAGAGGACTGCATTGTGTTTGAAGGCCGTGGTCTGATGTGATTTCTGCAGCCACATGCACGGATGTCCTTTAGTATTCACACCACGCACCTCGCCATCAAGTTAGCTGCAATAAGTTCAATCACTTCCTGCCCCAGTTGCCTTTTTGTTTCATATAAGAAAGCTGAAACTAGAGACCAAAACACATTTTTATCTAAAATTTTAGAGACGGCTCTTTAAGTATTTATGAATAAATTTAGATGATATTTGCACAACATTTCAATTAGACCCCATTCTCTAAGGCAGCGGGGCCTAATCCTGAACTTCGAGGGCCCCTGTCCTGCGTGTTTTAGATGTTTCTCTGCTTTGACATGCCTGGTTTGAATGAATGAAGCTTCTGCAGAACTTGAGGAACTGCTGAAGAGCAGGAAAACAACTCAAACATGTAGGATATACAGGCCATCAGGGGTCAGGACTGGGCTTTACTGGTCTAAGGCGTGCTAAAAAACAAAAAGGCTGCATTCTAAACTATGCATATACATTTAGAAGATGGGGTTATTATATGCAACGTGTCTTTTTGCTTTTTATTTTAAAGAAAATGTATCATCTGATGATGCAGGTTCAATGTTTAGCTGATTTTTTTATTTTAAGTTTATATGCTTATCCAAAAACATCACCTGATAAGAATCTGTTCAGATGACCTCACTTAACTTTTTTGGATTTATTTACCTGGATGATTGAAAATGCATCAGGACTTTTAAGTGCTCATCTTCTTTCACCTCAAGATGCTCACTTTGGGTTGTAAACCAACACTATAGAGTATGTATGAAATTTTTTAAGCTTACGCAGTAAAAATCAGGTTTATTTGTCTAAAAAGGAAATGTATATTTTTTTCTAAAATTGCAAAACAATAAAACTGTTTCATCAATCCATTATCTTAAGCATATGGATGGCTGTGGCTGAGTGGTTAGAGCAGTCATCCTCCAATGCAAGAGTTGTAGGCTCGAATCCCCCAGCAGTCACATGCCGAAGTGTCCCTGAGCAAGACACTGAACCCCTCATTGCCTCATGATGCGTGTCCCATCGGTGTATGAGCACTGGTTAGGCTCTTTAGAATGATTTGTTCAATTAGCTTTGTAAAGATATAGCAGAGTGCTGCATGAATGGGTAAATGAGGACACAGATTGTAGCGTAAAGCGCTTTGAGTGTCTTCATAAGATGCTATATAAGTACAGTCCATATCTTTACCTGCTTTCACTGGTGCCATGTCCAGCAGTCACTGTGTGAGAGACGGGGGACACCCTGGACAAGTCATAGGTCCATCATAGGGATGCATAGATACAAACAACCATCCACTCTCTCACTTTCACCTAAGGACAATTTAGTCACCAGTCAGTCTAACATGCATGTTTTTGGTCTGTGGGAGAAAACCCACGCATGCACGGAGAGAACATGCAAACTCCACCCAGAGGGGCCCCCAGCTGGGATTTAAGCCAGGGAGACCTGCTTGCTGAGAGGCAGCAGCTTTATCAACCGTGCTGCCCAATAATATAATAAAAATGTTTTGTTGTCTTTAGCATTCTCAATCTGATCTTATATTCAAATTAGAATATCGTGTGCATACATATTCCTAAATGTACTAATTTACAAATATGTCAAATAAGCATCATATTTGCACATGAAATGAAATAGACTCCTCTCGTTATTTATGAAAACAAAAAATAAAAAAATAAGTAGCTGGTGCTTTTATTTTGAAACGTGAGCGGGGCTTCCGCCCGCGTCCTTGATCTCGGCGTCCATCTTGACGAGCCTCCTCCTCCAACTGCCCTCCTTCATAATTCCATCAGAGGCGCTTCACCACCTTCACTCCCAGCATCCTCCCGTCCGTTCCTCCATCTGTTCGACCGTGGAAGTAACCTTCATTTAACACCGCGCCCAACGGCACATAAACATGGCCAGCAGCTTCTCCAGAATCCTCTCCTCCAAGCGGAACGTCGGCATCTTGTCGCTGGTCGGGGGCTCCGTGGCGGCGGGCTTTCTGCTCCGCCGGGAGCGCGCCAGCGCCGGGGAGCCTCTGCGCAGGAGGTACCCGGCCAGGTAACGTTCTCCTCCGCTACACGGCTTCAACTGCTTCAGTTAACGTCCATCTTATTTTATTGATTAAAACAAAAATATATAAAATTATCCCCATAACTTCAATAATCGTTTGAGTTTAAGCTAATAACGGAAGACGAACTGTAACATGAATAACCGCATTGTTAGCGTAAAAAAATACCCGGATGTAATTTGAATCAACCTGTTTTTAATTAATGAACAGTCGATAAGTTTATACATTATGTAAAATATAGTTTTCACGACGCTGGTATTAATATTAATATTAGCTAATCAGCAGGTATGAGATTACTGAGCCTGCTGGTGCAGGCCTGCTCTAAACCCTCCTATATTATATTAATATAATATATTATATTAAGAGCTGTGCAGAGTGACTAAATCATAAATTCAGGATTTTTTTTTTTTGTAAGTGGTGATGTGAAGGAGTAGCAATGTAACATATTAAAGTATTTCCACCATATAAACGTTTATATATTAAAAAAATATATATAACGCACTAACCTAACAATTGTAAGAATATAAAACCCTCTTATTTTGCTCAGATTGTACAGGTGGCACAAAAATGCTGCTTACTGTAACTAAAGAAATATCTTTGTTGGTCAAAACTTAACGATTACAACTAAATTTACTTGACAAAACATGGACGTAGACGTAGGATACCCTGGATATCTACTCTGACGCGTTAATACTGCATGCTGTGAATAAAAGATCAGGATAGGCTGAGGAGGGATGCGTACGTGCTCCATGACACACTTTCATAGCACCATAAAACGGCTTTACTGTGGCAGATTAGTGAAATATTATCTACCCTGCAGGCTCATACTAGTCACACTAAAGAAACTGCAAACAGTCTAGAGTTGACAAATCCTACAAACAATGTCATTTTAGCTGTAATGTATTTGATTCTTTAGGACAATGTGCTCAAGATTTACGAGTCCAACAAATGACACGAATATGAATCCATATTTTTCGCCTAATATTGTGACAAATTAATTGTGCAGCACAGATGTTTGCAAACCGTAAATGCACATCTGTTGTTAATGGACATTTTTAGTTTTCCTGACTCCTAACGTGTTGCCTTTAATAGTTGCCCTTCATTTTCTGTCGGCTCTTAATATGTCTTAAAGCTTTCAAATCAAGACTGACTCTGGGCTCAGTCGTCAAGAAACACTCGTTTCATTGATTAGCAGCCAGTCCAGTAAGTCCACATGCAGACCGTTTAAGCCTATTGACCAGACAGATTTTTTTCAGGATTTGCTCAAGATCAGGATCTTTACTGTGCTCCGCAAAAACATTTAACTCAAATATTTGTTTTTGTTGCGTTACTGTTGGGGCTTTTTGTACTTTTTGTTCAACCTGCAAAAAAATAACACAAGCCGGTGTTGCAAAATCAAAATTACAAAGACATGCAAAAGAGAAAAATCCACTTTTCTTTGACTGCCCTTAGCTAGCTGCTTAAAACAACACAGGAGGCACGATGTTCTCCAGTGATCTAGCTGAAACCCAGACCTTTAATCTAAAAGTGAATCTGTTGAATGATTTACGGATCGTTGTACACCAGCAGGATGCGCCCTGCTTTAATGGATTCTACTGTTTACACTGGGCAAAAGTCCAAGTGCCTAAATGTGACAGATTTCTACAAACATAACCCAAGAAACCTGCATCTGCACTTGCTCCATGATGGGGCTGAATATACTACCAGCTTTGGTTCAGCACATAGTCACTCTTGCATGCTTAAGTAAATGCGTTTGATTCTTTTTTGTGTCTTTGTTACAGAGATCCTGCACCTTCAAGGCACATTGTGTTGACCAAATGATGCAAAATGTGCTAAAAAACATTGTGAATTTATCCTGAAAACATAGGGAATACTTTTATTTTGTAAAGCCATTCTTGTGTTAAGTTGCCAAAGAAAAGAAATATAAGGTCGTAGTCTTTGTGACAAACTCTGAATGTGCTGCTTTATAGAACCATCAGGCCAAATAACATAGTTTCATTTTGTGCCTCAGGATATTGTATTTTGAACAAATGCATGTTTTGCTACTATTTTTCTACCCTGGAGCTCCAAATGTTTTTTAAAGACTGTTTACTCCTTTTCATTAAGTAGTTTTAGTTATTTTACTGCAGTAAAATAAGCACAATTCTGTATCGAGCTTGAGGTAGCTTGCTCTTTGTGTCTTGTGTAGATTTAATCTCAGAATAAACTCGGTAGTTAATCTGGGCTGCTTATTATGCCTCGTGTTACTGCCTCCACAGTAAATGGATTTGTTTGCTACAGGGTGTGGTGTGCTCGAAGGCCACAGGCTTAAATATCTGTTACGAGTCGCTCGTTCTGTTCTGTGGGAGCGCACCACTAGCGTTATTTCCTGCCAACACTTCTAGAATAAATAATAACTTTCTCAAAAATCAATGCAGATCCATTTATGTGCCGTTTGTCTGTGTGCAGTGCGGAGTACCCTGACCTGCGCAAACACAACAACTGCATGGCCAGTAACCTGACGCCTGCCATTTACTCCAAGCTGTGCGATAAGGTCACTCCCAACGGGTACACGTTGGACCAGGCCATCCAGACGGGCGTGGACAACCCCGGGCACCCCTTCATCAAGACTGTTGGCATGGTGGCAGGAGATGAGGAGTCCTATGAGGTCAGGCATCATTACCTCTTTTCAAGTATTAGAACTCCCACAGCTGAGGTTTACTCCGACAGAATCGAACCTTTTCTGCTCTGATTACTGATCTTCATGTTGAGTTCCCACTAAAGTTTGACAAGCCAACGTTTTTATTTATTTATTAGGTTTTATGCTTATTTGGGGCGAAAAGAGAAACCAAAAAGCATGTGGTCCACTTTAAGTTTCAACACATTCTGTTATGTTGACCTGGTCTATTTTGTTTTTGTGTTTTCATAAAATTTAACCCCAACACGCCTGCGCAATTAAAAGTCACATGTCGTAAAAGGTTTGGATGTGTCTTGAGTCTTGCATCGAGATTTTACTTTAGTAAGAAATATTCACAAGAGTGCTGCTGAGACGCGGCATGCTAAGTTTCTGATTTGTTGGTTTGAAAATGGCAAATGGAGCGTTAGAACGCTCAAACCACAACAGCGTTCTCGCACCATCTCAGAAAGAAAGGATTATTATAGAATTAGGTTTTAGTATTTTCCAGGTCAGATAAAGTTTAAGGGAAGTAGAGTATGAAAACAATATTAATTTCTACTCTTAATGGGGCGGCTGTGGTTAGAGCAGTCGTCCTCCAATGGAAGAGTTGGGGGTTTGATTCCACCAGCAGTCACATGCTGACACTGAACCCCTCGTTGCCTCTGTGTGTCCCATCGGTGCATGAATGTGATTAAGCACTGATTAATCTCTGTAAAGATCTAGTAAAGTGCTGTATGAATGACTAAATGAGGACATAGATTATGTTGTAAAGCGCTCCGAGTATTTTTAACAAGATAAAAAGGTGCCATGTAAGTGCAGTCCATTTACTATTGTATTATTTAAGATATTCAATAAAAACATGCTCAAACCTGTTGAGTACTTTTACGTTGCTAATAAAAGATGGATGCAGTCACCGTCTCATCTATCACACCAGACCTTCAATTCAAGGATTTAGCACCATTTAAACAGCAGTTCCACGATAAAGCCACAAACATGGAGATCCCTATTTAAGCTGAGGCTTGGAGCGAGTGGCTCGGTCTCATTGTAGTCTTAACTTTGTCTAGTTGGCTTAAGTAAAATCAGTCACGACAAGCTGTTACACGTTCACGTGCATGTGGAAAAGGCAGTAATGTACTCTGCAGTGGACCTACTTGTGTTTTTAACGTTTCTGTTCTTCCTTTGTAAAAGCCGAATTTACAGTTGGCAAACAAGACTTTTGACGTAACTGCGTGACCTTTGTGCCGTTTACAGTACTCAACGTTTTAGTACAGAAATGCAATAAACATTACGGTTTGCTTCACACTACAGAATATTTTCTCTTTACACGTATGATGTGTAAATTAAAATCTTTTGTTCCATCTAGTTCAGAGTAAAGAGTTCACTGTGAGAGTTGTAGCAGACTTCAAGTTGGGATGTGTCTCCTTTATACACACGTACACATTCCTTTTCCATACTGCACTGTACGCAACATTTCAACCGTTCGTTTTCACAGAAGCCTCGAAGGCTTTGAGGCAAAGATTCAACCACAGGCCAACAGTCGCGCTATAATCACTGTAACCGCACTTACACAAAAACAGTCCGTTGTAAACTTCTTTATTGCCGAAGAGCGTTAAAATCAGAAAGTTTTCAAAAACAAACATTTTTCAAGTGTTAATTTAATTTTTAATTGATTAATTAAATTGTTTTTAAACAATTTTTAGCGGAGTGGTGGCGTAGGAGTTGGATAAAGCGAGCTTGTAATTGAGAGGTCACCGGTTCACATTCCCTAATAGTCGCATGAAAATGTGAGCGGGAAAACTGAAACACCCACACCTGCCTCCACTCTCATCTACCCAACTCTGAACCCTTGAGCAAGGCCTTTAACCCCCACAATCTGCTCCCCGGGCACCTGATATCTGCTCCACACATGTGCGCTGTGGTTGCGCAAGAAGGGCATCTAGCTGTTGCAACCCCTGAAGAAGGGAGCGGCTGAAAGAAAATGAATCAATTTAAATAAAAAAAAAAGAAGCCAAAATTACAGTGGAGCAAAACTGAAATTCCATCCATCCATCCATTTTCTTTACCCGTTTATTCCATTTTGGGTCACGGGGGTCGCTGGTGCCCATGTCCAGCAATCACTGTGCGAGGGGCGGGGTACACCCTGGACGGGTCGCAAGTCCATCACAGGGACACATAGAGACAAACGAGACAAACAACCATTCACTCTCTCACTCACACCTAGGGACAATTTAGAGTTACCAATCAGCCTAACATGCATGTTTTTGGACTGTGGGAGGAAACCGGAGTACCCGGAGAAAACCCACGCATGCACGGAGAGAACATGCAAACTCCACCCAGGAAGGCCCCTGGACCGGGGTTTGAACCAAGGACCTGCTCACTGAGAGGCAGCAGCTCTACCAGTTGCGCCACCGTGCTGCCCCAAAACTGAAATTGAACCAGATAAAAAAAAATGGAAAAACTATCACAGACGGATCACAATAAGCTATAAATGTGTGTACAACAAACCGTTTGTGCCACTTTTTCCTTCTTACTGCTCTGGCCTACTTTGTCTGGATGTCTCGACAACGTCATTATTTTAGAAGTGAATCACGTCCAAATGAAGCTTTAATTAGTGCTGCCAGTCTGCACTAAATAAGATCTAAATATAAAGAAACCATTGATGTTATTTCACTTTAAAGCCTAACTTAAAAAGTATTGAATATAAATCAAACTGAACGGATCACTGGGCGAGGCAGTCTATGACCACTGTTTAATATTTAACAAACGCACATAATTATTATTTTTTCTAAACTTCCATCACGCTTTATGTTTGTAGGTATTTGCAGACCTGCTGGATCCCGTCATCAAAGAGAGGCATAACGGCTACGACCCTCTCACAATGAAACATCCCACTGACCTGGACGCCAGCAAGGTACGACAAGTTTTACATCGCCACATGTTTTTGTACCATTTAATTCTGAGGTGTGGGGAGAATTTCTTCAGCTCATTTTAATTTTTCTACTGTAGTCTTACAAGATATTACTGTAAACCAAAGAAACGGCTTCTGGAAATGACGTCTGGAACGCTTTGGTGGAACTGCCAGTACATGAAATAATGTCCTTGTAAGAATGAACAAAAAATACTCTTAAGTATTAATTATAAGAACAAAGATAAGTAAATTACAGCGCATTTGTTTGTCTGTGCTTGCAGTTATATTGTGTCGTTTACTTTTATTACTTGATTTTGTTGGTTCGTTGGAGGCAGTCGGCGTGCGTTTATTTCCTTCCGTCGATCTTTGTGGTGCTATGCTATGACTTTATTAGACAGAATATACATTTTGATTTTTTTAAACTCTAAAGCAGCGAGGACTGAAGCCAGATAACGGTCGACTAAATGGGATTCAAAAAGGCACGGAGAATTTTATTTTACCGTTCTACTTCTTATTTTCTTAAATTGGTGGCATTTTTGATGGGAGTCATTTTTAAATAAAATAAAGCAAAATTATCACACTGGAGATTTGTTTCTTGTTCAGCCATTCTCGTGTGGATTTGCTGTTGTGGGATCATTATCCTGTTGCACGACCCAGTTTCTCTCAAGCTTTAACTTTTGGACAGATGTCGTCACGTTCGGCTCCAAGATCCTTTGATAAACAGGAGTTCATGTTGGACTCAAAGCTTCCTGGTCTTCAGCTTGCAAAACGAGCTTAAATCATCCCTCCTCCACCTCCATCACAGATTAAATGAGACCATACGTTTATGTTTTGAATTTAACAATCTTTTTGTAGTTTTGTTGTTTTATTTTTATTTTTTCTGCCTGTATGTTGTTTGGTTTGCTCGAGATGCGTCTGCAGTAGGGCCAGTCATCTTCATTTAATGCCCCTTGTTTAAAAAGTGTCGTTTCTGATGTCGTATAACCGTAATTTCTCACCAGGGTGTCATCGGAGCGGTGACTTTTCATGACGACGCACCAAAAAAAACCCACCAAACTTGTTCGTTCCGTGTCCGTTCACGACACCGATCTGAATGGAACTTGAACGTAAACCTGAACATTTCTCGTGCTAACAGAGTCCTGTGCAGCCTCTTCTGTTTATTTCTTTCACTAGTTTATCATTTGACCTCAACGTGAACTTGCCGACGCAAACACTCCTGGAAACTGTCTTGGATGTTTTCCACTTGTGTTCCAATCGTTGTCTCTGTAGGACGATGTTTAGAAATCTTTTTATAAATCTTCCCAGATGGATGAGCAGCAACAGTTGCTTCTCTGACACACCTTAATGCACCAGACCTGCAAACTGCTTCTCCTCGTGAAGGTGCTCACACGTGGTGATGGTCGGTTAATTAAGGTTATTTAGAAGCAGAATCTGGCCGCTGCTTTAATCCTAGTGGAAACTTTAAAGACATTTTAAGTAAAACTGAAAATATTTCAAGGAAGCACCAATCTTTTTGAGTTGTAGGGCAGATTTTTGATTGAAAGATGAGTGTAAAAAATACATTAATGCAAGTCTTAAGACAAAAATATGATCCCGTACATGTGATGTCATTTATGGGTGCGGTTTTCTCCACTGCCAGGTAATTTCACACGCGGTGCACTGGTCTACCGTTTTTTTTTTTTTTTCGTTTCAGATTCAGTCGGGACATTTCGATGAACGTTACGTGCTGTCGTCCAGGGTGAGGACGGGCCGTAGTATCCGGGGGCTGAGCTTACCCCCTGCCTGCACCCGGGCAGAGCGCAGGGAAGTGGAAAGAGTGGTGGTGGATGCCCTCGCTGGCCTGAAAGGCGACCTGACCGGGAGATACTACAGTCTCACCCAAATGACGGAGAAGGAGCAGCAACAGCTCATTGACGTGAGAGTTGCACACACGCTGCTGTAGATCCAATAACGACAACGCAAGAGAAATCAGCAATTTCACTGCTCTCTAATTCACAACCATTTTATTGGTATGTTTTAAAATTAAATAATTTGTCAGGTGCCGTTTTGAATTTTCTCACGTTTTTCATGCAGTTATTGCACTTACTTGGAAAACTTTGAGCAGTGTTGTTTTGGTAAAAATCAATTGAAGACTGACTTGGATGTGAGGACAAACTGCAGACGCAGCAGGGACCAAATGAAGGAACGAGGCCTTTGACCTCTGCTTGAAAAAATCTCAACCAAAATGAAAAATTCCTGAAATTTGCCCCTCGCTTGCATCTTGTAATTTTAGACATGAAGTACTTGGAAGTAGCAGATGAGTTTATCTATGAATTACTGCACATTTTTACTTTGCTGCCAGGTCTTAATCCACCTAACAGATTCCATCCATACGTCTGGTTCGTGCCGTGTGTAAAACGTCATTTCTTGTGTATTCGTTAGGACCACTTCTTGTTCGACAAGCCCGTGTCTCCCCTCCTGACATGTGCAGGCATGGCTCGTGACTGGCCAGATGCTCGTGGTATTTGGTAAGCAGACATGAAGATTTTCAGCCCAATACATAAACCTCATTTGCAGCGTTGTTTATTTAATATCAGAACCCCCCCCCCACCCCCGAGGAATTTTTAGTACACGGTCTTTCCATGGTAATTTTATGGATGGATGGCTTGGTGGGTAAACGTTCTGATAAATTTTAGTAACATTTGTACTTTTTATGCGTTCGCTGACAAACTTTGGTTCTAAGATTTACACAGAAAAGATTAAAATTTATTTGTTTATTCATTCATTTAAAAGAAACTAAATAAAACAAATGCATCAACAACAACAAAAAAACGAATGAAAAGGGTGCAGAACGAAGAAAAAAATAATTTATTATAACGTTCAATAAACTATGTTCAATAAAGTTTTTAGTGTTCGTGAGAGCGTTGCATGAGGAGCAAGCGCTGACAAACCAAAGAACAAGTCTGGCAGGAACATCGACGCATCAGAATCAGCTTTTCTCTGCGCTCGTTTTCTTTACTGAACCTGAATAATGTACGATCCTCAGAGCTGCTAACAAAATATCTGTCCTTTGCTCAGGCACAACAACGAGAAGACCTTTTTGATTTGGATCAATGAGGAGGATCACACCAGAGTTATTTCCATGGAGAAGGGAGGCAACATGAAGAGAGTCTTTGAGAGGTTCTGCAGAGGCCTCAAGGAGGTACGACTGTTTTGTTTCAATGCATCCTTAAAGTTCAAGTTGTTGAGGAAAAAACTAAAAGAGTTCAAGCTTTTACTTTTGCTTTGTTTGATATTTGTTAAATGCGTTTGCGTCTTCTAATATTAACAGTAGATGCTGAGTTGAAGGAGACACGAGATGTAATAAATAAAGTGGATCATGTGAAAATGGCTGACGGGTTACTGGATTTAAATGACTTCACGACGCCAATGAAACCAACGAGGAAGACGTTGATGCACAAACACCATAAACTGCTTTCTGCTGCTTCCTCCTTCAAAATTAAAGTTTCTTGACAGATATGCAGAACGAACGGTCCAAACAGCTCCATGTGAGCAGAAATTATTTGTCCAAGTTCCCCACTAGGAAAAGAGCAAAGGACGAGCAAAGCAACATCTGGACTGTTGCACAACTAACACTAACGTCCCTCCTCCGCGCGTTTCGAGTTTTGTTGTGTGTTTCACGCCCTCCAGAGTATTTTTTCACAAACATGACATGAATACCTTTTTCTATGTTAACTTTAAAACAACATCAAAGTGTGTTTCCTTCTCTGAAGTGTGATCATCTGCCTCTCAGGTGGAGCATCTGATCCAGGAGAGGGGCTGGGAGTTCATGTGGAACGAGAGGCTTGGGTACATCCTCACCTGCCCCTCCAACCTGGGGACAGGACTCAGGGCTGGAGTGCACGTTAAACTGCCCTTACTGGGCAAGGTAACGGAAAAGTTGCAACACAACTTAGACAAACGAAAAGTACAATCTCAGTCTGGGTCTTTTATTAGTTTCTGCAGAAAATACAAATCTGACAAACAGCTGAGACGGTTTTGAATCGTGTGTGCGTGCTTGTTTATGTTACTTTGTGAGGACCAGAGCCGCTCATCATAAGGTTCACGTGTTGTTAGGGGTTAAGTTTAGGGTCAGGTACGTACTGGTAATGGTTAGGTTTAGGGTCAGGTAC